AAAAATGCTTTCCTATGTAATTGGAAGAAATCTCCAAATATTTTTATATATGCTTATATAAACCCTGATTACCAGATCCTTTCACCCATCACTTTCTTTTGTCTTTGCCATTTCCTTTTAAAATACTCATTGTGGGTAATACATATATAAATGACTTGGGAGTAATGCAGAAGCACAGAAAAGCTACAAGATTAGTTGTTCACAGAAACTGATGTTTCTACAATATCAGCTCAATTTGTTTCAAAGGAGGAAAAAGTAGTATCTATCCCTAGGTTCTGAGAATATACATGCAAATCAGCAGCAAAACTATAAAGGACTTGCAAAAAGAGCGACTTGCAGAGCAATTTAGCATGAGTAAAGCATCTTTATATCGTGTTAAAAGAGCTGTGTTTCTGGAAGGCTCACAGGGCTGCTGTGAAGGCTGTTCCCATTTGCCTGCATGTGGATGGGCAGGAAGCATTTCTGCTGGAACTGCAAAGCTGCTGTGGGCGCCTTTGAGGTAGCCGGGAAAGGCCAAGGGAACGCTCCAGTGCAGGATGGAGTGATTACATTCACACATTCCACTTGGCTTATGTGACAAAGAGCGGCAGAGGGTTTTCCAAGAGGAATAGCTTTCAAAGCATTGTTTTAGTGAAGAATTCCAGCACGCAAGTTTATGTCAGCAGTCAGAATAATCAGTTTAATTTGGAAAAGTTGTCAAGAAAAATTAAGCTCCTGATCTGTAAAAGAACACTGATCTAAAAGCCCGAGTTTGTGCTGCTGGGTATCTTAATACATAATGGCACAACATCTGTTTTTCTTTCAAGCATTTCTAATGAGTAGGCCACCTGATTTTTATTTCTTGGGATTCTTTTCTATTAGGAATTTGAGGACTGTGTGATGAAACTTGATGAAATACTGAGGCTGAAAGCAGAATGCATCCGAAGGGCACGAACCCAGCTGCAGCTGTTTTTTGCTGCTTCTTCAGGTGGTAGGACATTGCTGCCAATTTCCTCAACATAGCCATGGAGTGATACAGCTGTGACACATATTGCCTCAGGACAGCATCTTAAAGTACCAAGACATTTGAGTCTCATGCTCAGCATGTCTCAGGAAGAAGCTAAAGGTACATTCAGTTAACAAAGAAACTTGGCAGATGCTCAAGGTGCTTTCTCCCTCCTCTGTAATCTGCAAAACCGCAAACTGCATCAGACTGGGTCTGCCAGCGTCCGTTGAAAGAAAGGAAGGGGGATATTAGGTGCTACCAAAGGAATCCAGTTTTCCCACCTGGCTGTGTGTGGGCCTGAGGAGCGTCTGAGCTGTGAGTGAACGCCGGTATTGGACAACAGTGAAACGCAAAGACAACTGCGTGAATTGTACTTCTGTTCACATTTTTCCCTATGTTCCCTCCCCACTCCCCTGCGTAACAAACATTTTGCATTAATACTTCCAGCTACCGGTTGTCTATTAACTGCTCTCAGTCCACTGAAATTTCCACTACAAAACTAGCAGCCTATTCATTTGGAAGTTGAAGGCCAGAGTGTATGGAAGGGGTGACTTGGACAACTCAGGCAGAATAAAGGCTGCCTTCCTACCTGAAATCTTTACATTGGCTCTGGTAAATATTTGCGCTGATGCTAATGTTTACTGGATGAGTTTCTGATTCCTACCAAGGAAGTTCTGTGGTAGATTAGAAACTTGGCTGGTAGCTCTGCAGCTACTTTTGTTCATACGCAGTTAGTAGAAGATGGTTGTATTCCCCTGCCATGTCATAGCCCCAGCCCTGCTTCAGGCCTTTTATGCAGTTTCAAAGACTGATTTAAAGGAATGATAACTCTAGAGCAGAGGACTTAGACCCAATATATTCCAACCTGGTGGTTCTTGAAGATCAGATTGCCACAAGATATGCCTCAGCTAGTCTGATTCATTTCCTTCTAGTGCTCCAAGGTGGCAAGATTTAGGTGGTCATCTTGCAACTGCGAAAGAAGCAGAGCAGGGTTGTGCTCATGACTGAGCAATTCAGCCAGAGTTGGGAGCCAGTGAGAATACTGTTTAGAAAGGCATTGTTCATATTCCATTTCATTTAGCCCGTCCTTGCTTTTCTTCCAACCAGAGTCCAGTATCAGGTGCCATTTGATAACGGTTTGTTCTTGAACCCTCATGTACGCTTTGGGACCCAGAGTGCCACGGTCACATAGGCTCTTCAACAGAAAAGAACCACGACGTATATGAAGTGGCTGCTAAAAGAGGAACTGGGGCTAACTATTTTAGCAAGACTCCTGGAAATACAGAAAATGGATATAAAACCAGCAGATGTACTGAGAGCAGCACACCTAAATAAAACAGCTGAAAAGCTAGCTTAGCTATATTGCATAAGCATTTTGCACTACCATGCAAAAAAGTGTCTTTAAGTACCTTTGAATAAATGAAGGTGGTTCAAGTAGTTAAGAAGACTGATTGCTGCGATGTTATGTAAATTAAGTTAGAATGAGTTTGAATATGCATGTAATTTTATTCTGAAATTTTGCTTCAGTTAACAAATTTGCTGTATTTGTTGTTATACCCTTTAAATTAAGCACCCAGATCAAATATAATTCCGCTTCGATTGTAAGAATAATTCACAATTGAGAAGAAGGGCTTAGGAGCTTAAACAATTATGCCAATGTGTGGTCATGCTGGAGATCACCTCAGCTACAGAGCTTCGTATCAGGGAACTGAGCGGTGTGACATCTTGGCACAGCCGGTCCTTTAGAACAGGAGTGTGAAGCTTTGGGGACTCCCAAAAGTAGGTGGGGTCTTGGTAATTAAGCTTGACTTATGCAATTAAATAAAATTTAAATAATGATTACTTGCCATGGATTCGGTAGGATTTTCATTCCATTTGATGAGATTTTACACCCAGTTTTAGGGGAAGAGCAGGCATCTTTTATGCCAACACACATTTCTCATCTTCATAGCTGCTTCAAGAACTCCACTGGTTTATATTATATTTAACTCCCTGCAGCTTTAGGGTGGGTGTGAACATCCCCCACTCCAAATTCTGCCATGGCGGCAGCCCCAAGTAGGCCGTAGATTTTTTTTTTTTTTTTGGGAAGCTGCAGCTTCTTGTGGCCAGGCGATCTAAAATGGATGACTTTTGAGTAGGCTGTCTACTGTTATACATTTATTTTGTTTTATTTAATTACTGTGCCAGTAAATTCCCATAGGCTGTAAGCAGCTTGCAGATTACCACAAGAAGGGCTAAAAAAAATATCTGACACACAAACCCTAACAATGTGTCATGACAGCACTGTCACCACGTGGGGTGTTTATCCCAGAGGACTGACTCAGTCACTCTAAGATGGTTACTCAGTAATAAAGTACCCCTGTGACTCCTGCCATCACCGCTGCTGCCCTCACTGGGAAGGAAATTATGGGCCAAGTACAGGAAATGCCTCCATGACAAGCATGTATGTTTCAGGCCCAAGTCACATTAGCACTGGGGTAGGGCACAGGAAGCCATGAGCCCAACAGCCGATTAGGTTCTAACTCTAAACAAGCTTGGTCTTGGGGTTTACCGGATTTTATTATCTGACAATTATACACGAAGGGTACACCTCTTTGTTTTAAATCTCAAAGTAACAAACCCCCAGCTGACATTCAAAGTCCGGCAGTTCTTTGAAAGCGACAGACAACTATCCTCAGAACTGCTGTAGAATATTCGTGGCCCCTTATTTTAGGATGAAGGAAAGTGAGTCAGTGGTTTTGGCAAATGATGCTAATTATTCACAGCATGCTAACAGGGAAGTCTGGATTTTCATAGAACAAATGAGATTAAAGTAATCTCTCCTAAATCCTAAGAGCAGAACACTATGAGCCACTTTTTAAGATTTTATTAGTATCTTTCTGCAGAACCAAAATACTTAGCAAATTACTTCAAGGATCAAGACTGCTTATATTGTATGAATTTAAATCTTTAAACATGTACAACATAATACTTTTTGCTATCAAAACCCAAAGTCTGATTCCTATTACTAGATTAATAATTATAACTGTGTGAAAAAATGGAACCAATGCAGTGAATATTGTAAAGAAAGTGCTTGAAAGAGAGACCTCCGATTTCACACTGTATGTTAAACTGACAAGTCACTTCATTTCTCCAGAGGGACTCGGCTTAAATAGGAAACCTGTCAGCTTGGGCAGGACAGATCCAAAACTCCTGGGTCAGATACAGTAGACAGAATAGCCAAGGGACAAAGGATTTCACAGCTTATCTGTTCTGAAAACTAGCAGAAATTCGAGCAGCCAGGGCCACCATGCCAGAGAAGGTTGTACAGTTTCTCTGCGCGCCCAGTGGCGGTTAGTGAACCAGTGTTGCACTAAGATACCTACCTCCTTTCAACCAAAGATACCCTCCCCAACTGAGTTAAACTGAAATTCCATTGCACATCTACCAAACTTTAACAAGAGTCAAATGTTGCGGTACAAGCAGGCACACAAATGAAAGCAGTTGTAAGGAACTCAAGCATAATTCATTTCAGAGCCAGGTTGATACTTCTCTGAGTCCAGTGCAAAGGGACGGGGGGGGGAGGGATCAGGAGAAAGAACTAGCTTGACCCGTCTGTACAACTCAGTCCAGAGTCTCTGGCCTACCCAAAGAAACAAACTTAGGGAAGGGCACTTAAAACTTTAATCGAAGAAAGCAGTTTGGACTCTCTTGGGTGGGCTGACTGGAGTGATGGCATGGCAATGGACCAGCTCTTTCAGCTGTGGCAGTATCTGGAATGCAGAATCCTGGTGGCATTCTTCCCGCAGCACCCGAGAGATCCGTGTGGTGATGGCAAGGTCCAGCGGGCAGGGCAGTGAGGGCTGCTCTGCACAGTTTCAACTGGCTCCTGCTCGGGTCATTAAATCCTCCAGGGCATTGTCCTGGTCATTGTTGTGTAATAACAATGCTTCTTTAATATCTTTCAGTTCAAATCCCATTTCTTTAAATTTACTCATTAGCTGGAGAATCTCTGTTGCCTGAGAAAGGAAAAAGGTGATACTGTCAAGATGGCATACAAATACTTGCGTAACTGACCTTTGGGCTTCAAGATACCCAAGGCAGCTAAAAAGGTGGTCTGGAGAGACTTCACATAATACTTGTCAATTCGAAGCTCAACAGAAAAACAGGCAGCCAAAAAATAAAAAATAAAAATTTGAAGGCTAAACCACTACCTGAAGTTAGATCCTTGCCGAACCTTTAAAAGGCAGAGAAACAGTGCAAGCCAGACAGGCAGTGTGGTTAAAGGGGTTAGACCAGCACCAGGGAGACCCAGATTTCAGCCTCCCTGCAGCCATGGAAGTTCCTGGAGTGACTGGGCCCATACCTTTCTCCCAGCCTGACCTACCTCACAGAGTTGGGGGAAAAAATATGAGGGTACTAGGTGTGGTGCCCTGAGTTCCTGGATGAAGGAAAGGCTATCAATTTGCCCAGGCATTTGGGCCAGAAGGTTAGGCTGGCCCTTTCATGTTTTTTTACGATTAGAAGGTGTCATTTACCTGGGGTGCTGTGGGCTATTATTTTTAATTTGGGGGGTTTAATCTTTGTACAGTGCCCAGAGTCACTGCTGCAAGATGGGCGGCCATATAAATTATTTAAACAAACAAGCAAACAAATAATCTTCAGCACTGCTATGTTGAATATAATTACTGGGCTCTGAGGCTGGAATGATGACAACTGCCATCTAAAATACATGGAAAGTACTGGCTGAGGAAGGCTGAACAGTTTTACATGACCTAAAACATGTGCCTCCTCCATGCCCATTGAGAAGGGTGGAATTAGCATCTTTATTTAAAAGAAATAAAGATTCCAGCAGCTGTCTCAATAGCACAATAGCAAGTCACAATAGCATGTGCCACTGTGGCTGTATCCGATTTTGAGGAATGGAGGGCGCACCACTGTTAAGCTGAACAAATGTTTTCCTTGCCACAACTGCCACCAGAATGGAAAAACCCGATGTCTCATTATGGATTCAGTGCAAGGGATATCCAAAGGTTACATCCCCATTAGTACATGGGACCGGTTTCTCTGAGAGCTTTAGATCTCCTAAA